GATGTGAGGCTTTTTCTCCAGGAGAAGTTCTTCTAGAAATTCACCAAAGGATGGAGTCTCATCTAGTGGCTCCAGCACTCTAAATTCCTAGTAGGAGATCCCAAGGGTGGAATTCCTTCTAAGGATGTGTTGCTTTCTCCTTTCCTTTGCTAGTAATCCATTTAAACCATATTAAATTTACTTCTTAATTCTATTTCTAGTCATTTTGTATGAATGCCGCAAGAGATATATTAAGCTTAAAGGGTTGCTTTTCTTGGGACATCTTGCTATATATCCCAGACTACAGTCCTCAGGCCAGGTCAGTTTTTCCTAACCCAGCAGGGTCCTTATTCAGTCACTTCTCTTTAAGTCATGTCAGAGTTTGTTCCATGATCATGCTCTTAACTTATTATACTTTTTTATGTCCCTTTTCCATGCCAGGGTATCTTATAACTTGCCCTGGATTGATCCTTGTCTGTCAATGTGCCCCATTTGTGGGGTGTTAGGAAGTACGGGCAACTGGGGCTTAAGAAAAGTAAATATGATGGATGCCCAGGAGTAAATATTATTTAGAGTCAATTAAGTTCCATGTTACAAAAACATAGCATTAACTATCTTCCTGTGTCTATACACAAAGGACATTGCTCTAAAATAATCAAAGGAGCAAGTGAAAACAGAGATAGACAAATGGGACTATCTTAAACTAAGAAGCTTCTGCACCTCCAAAGAAACAGTGACCAAAATACAAAGACATTCTACAAAATGGGAAAGGATATTCACTCAATAAACATCCAACAAGGGGTTGATCTCAAGGATATACAAAGTATTGGTTGAACTCCACAAGAAGAAAATATCCAACCCCATCAAAAACTGGGGCAATGAAATGAACAGAAACTTTCTCAAAGAAGAAATACACATGGCTAAAAGACACATGAGAAAATGCTCTACATCATTAATTGTCAGGGAGATGCAGATCAAAATAACAAAGAGATATCATTTCACACCACAGAGACTGGCCCACATCCAAAAGAACAAAAGCAACTGGTGTGGGTGCGAATGTGGCAAGAAAGGGACCCGCCTTCATTGCTGATGGGAATGCCGAATGGTTAAGCCCTTTTGGAAAACAGTATGGACGATTCTCAAGAAATTAGAAATTGAGCTCCCAATTGACCCAGCAATGCCACTCCTGGGAATATATCCCAGCGAGGCAAAAAAGTATGGTCGAAGTGACATCTATACTTGTTTGTTCATTGCAGCACTGTTTACAATAGCTAGAATCTGGAAAAAACCTGAGTGCCCAAGAACAGATGACTGGTTAAAGAAACTTTGGTACATCTACACAATAGAGTACTACGTAGCTGTTAGAAAATATGAAGTCCTGAAATTTATAGACAAGTGGTACTACATGGAAAGTATCATGCTAAGCAAAATGAGTCAGAAAGAGAGGGACAGACATAGAAAGATTGCATTCATCTGGGTAACATAAAGTAACAAAATAGGAGACTAACACCCAAGAATAGCCGAGATAAGTACCATGACTTGGAGGCCAGCCACACACGCTGGGGGAAAAGGCAGCTCAGATAGAGAAGGGAGCACCAAATAAAGGATATTGGGAGGATCCTCCCAGGATGGGAGATGCATGCTGAAAGTAGACTATAGACCAAACATGACTACCACTCAATGCCTCTTTTGCAAACCACAGCACCCAAAAGGAGAGAGAGAACAAAAGGGAATGCCCTGCCACAGAAACAGGGTGGGATGGAGGGATGGGGTTGGAAGGGATACTAGGATCAGTGGTGGTGAAGAATGGGCACTGGTGGAGGGAGGGGTACTCAATCATTGTATAACTGAAACCCAAGCACAAAAATTTCTAAGTCTACAACTGTACCTCATGGTGTTTCACTAATAAAAATTAAAAATAAAATAAGATAATCAGCGGACATAAAGGAAAGAGAAAAGCAATATTTCACTTACATATACAAAAATCCAGAGCCCTCAGAAGATTTGACTTTACAGGTTACAGTGTCTGGTTTAGGGATATTTGTGATTAACAGATTGGGGAAGAAGAGCACAAAGAAAGGGTTAAAGATAAACACATAAGATTGGGAGTAGAAGTAGGTGTGCCTCAGGAGCACTGTGGTGGGTGTAATTTAATAAACCTAAGTTCCCTGCTAGGGGAGAGGGAGAAAGAAAGGACAAACCAGTGTTACTTCTTAAAATGCTTAGAACTATAATCCAACACAATACCTTTTCGTTTCTTGACTATAAGCCTGGAACTTGTTCATCTCACAGGAGGCCACAAAGCTAGCTGTATAGAATTGTGGGCAAGTTGCAGCCACATTTTACAGTGGCCTGAGCATATTGTGAGCGGGGCAGTGAAGAAAATCTTTAAGACTTATGAAAGGTAAAGGTATAGAAGAGTTAATATTTATATCTGTGTCTTTTTGTGTAAGCTAATTTCTATATAGAAATACAGAAATTGGATTACAGTAGCAATTTTGAAATATATTCATTCATATACAATCAACTTTATTTTTTAAAATTATATCTTTTTTGGGAGTGCAGTTTGTGCCACACCAGATAGTGCTCAGGGCTTACTCCTGGTTCAGTATGGTGCTCAGGGCTTACTCCTTACTCCTGGTGTGGTGCTCAGGGGACCATTTGTAGTGTCAGGGTCCAGCCAGGGTCAGCTGTATGGAAGGAAATTGCCTTCTCTACTGAACTATCCCTGTGGGCCCCAACATGCATTTTTGGGCCAACACCAGAAATCCTATGATTGACTGACTTCCTTTTCCTACTAAGAATATTTTTCCACCAGTGTCTATTATAATTCTTGAACAATATGAAGTCAACTAGAAAATTAGCTGAAGTCATAAATAAAGGGAAGATAATATATATTTATAAGCCAGCTATTCATATTTCAAAAAATCTTCAAGTTTTGCCACCCACTGCTTCTTTTCTATTAGGGCAATAATGATGCACACAATTTTTAAATCCTAACATAGTGGCACTCTACTTTTCAGAATTATTATGGCAGCCTTCTGCCAGGATTGCTTCTGGGTGTGCTCAGAAATTCAAACACATTTTGATATTTTTCCAAGCAAAATATCATTTAAGACAAGTCTACTGCCAAATAAAACCCCACATATAATAAAGCAAATAAAGATTATGTGCAGATTTTCCACAATTCTATTCCCTTCCATTAGTGCATTAATAGTGGAGAATTGACTGTGCATGAAATCAACCACCAACCATGTATCCAGAGGAGGAGCAATAGCAGAACTTAGGGTCACCACGAAGGCCTGTGGGTTGTATTACATCTTGTGTTCACTATCAAAAGGGAATTCATAAGAAATGAAGAAGGCATGTAGGTGAACCTAGAGTGTTTACTGACTGCCACACATGTCTGGTTCTGCATGTTTGGAAGTGTAACTCTGAGTGGGTTACCTGGGCTTGCTTCCCCTTTCTTGGGAATTAGACAATTAATCATGCTTACAAACATGTCCAGTGTCATTAGCTTCATTCTGCTTTGAGTGATGTTGTGTGTGCAGTGGTGGTTTTCAAGACTCATATTGAAATAAAGAGTTGGAAATTGAATAGACGAATTATAAAAGACACTTCTCTCAGACAATTTTACACTGGGAAAGTGAGATCAGTGTGTTGTATTTAAGCACATGCTGATCTCCACCCAGGGGCTTTCTGGAAACTTTTTAAAAACATTTATTCTTTGGGGTGGGAGAGACAGAACAGCAGGCTGGGTGTTTGCCTTGCATGTGGCCAACCCCGGGTTTGATCCCTGGCATTCCATATGGTCCCCCGAGTACCACCAGTAGGAATTCCTGAGTGCAGAGCCAGGAGTAACTCCTGAGCTTTGCTGAATGTGGCCCCAAAACCAAATGAACACATAAATAAATAAATAAATAAATAAAACATTTATTTTTAACTCTTCCTTCCTTTGGTGTATTTCTTAGCACCATGGAGGGTATTTAGATAAGTGGTTTATACCAGTGATATCTGAATTATTTTGTCTATATTGAATGGATTTTATTGTAAAATATATGTTTCTGGTTCCTGTCCCATTCTGTTTTCAAAAAGGCCAGAATATGATGTAAATTCCAGACTGAAAAATCTTTATATCTAGCATAGTCACAGTGGTCTAGAGCAGTTTCTCAACTGTTTTCGAGCCATGGGCCCCTTCTGGCCTGGTTTCCTTCCTGTGGCCTCCTGTCCTACTGGTTGCCTCCCCAGTCTCATTCCAAGGCCCCCCATTTGTGTGATTTTCACCTATGGCCCCTTCGGAATATCCGGGGAGCCAGCCAACCAGTAACACCTGAGTGTGTTTATATTAAGATTCTTCATACCTTTATTATTTTTTATTCTTAAAAATAAAGTCCATCACCCTTTCTTACACCCATCACCCCACCTCTTCCCCTCCGGGAACTCTTTTATCATCATATTTGTGGACAGAATGTGCTAAGCCTGGCCATAGCATTTCTGTCCCCGGGGCACATGAGTGTGAAAAGAGGAAAAGATTTTTTTACCTATTGCTTCTAAAAATTGTTGAAGCTTGGGGCTGGAGAGATGGTGCTGGGGTTGATGGTGCTGGGGTTAAGGCCCTAGTTCCAGCTCTTGTACCAGATCTGGTCCCCTGAGCCCCTTACCAGGAGTGAGCCCCCAGCACAGGGCCAGGAATAAGCCCTGAGCATTGCCAGGTGTGGTGGCCCATTCCCCACCCTCCACCCCCAGCCCCATCATCAGAGCTCAGGAAACCCTAGAGGGCACTTGGGGAAGTACCGTTCGCCCCCTCAGCTTCTCTTCTTTCTCTCTGCAGACCTCACAGGCAGCCTTTCCGAATGGGGAGTCTGTGCCAAGGCTGAAGATGCCAGGAAGAGTCCTGCTTCCACGCACCCCGCTGGCTGCCGTCCATGCGTCTCTGCCCGACTCGGATGATGTGATGCTCAGAGGGTCGCCTTAACCCACGTGGTCCTTCCTTGAGTGCCCCCCTCCCTGGACCGCCAGCCCCCCCACCCCCACCCCCACCCGATGCTGGAGATGGCCAGTCAACCTCTGGAGGACGGCGCCGAGTCCCAGGTGCCCGACGAGCTGGAGTGTAAGATCTGCTACAACCGCTACAACCTGAAGCAGCGGAAGCCCAAGGTGCTGGAGTGTTGCCACCGGGTGTGCGCCAAATGCCTCTACAAGATCCTGGACTTCGGGGACTCCCCGCCGGGCGTCATCGTCTGTCCCTTCTGCCGCTTCGAGACCTGCCTGCCGGATGACGAGGTCAGCAGCCTACCCGACGACAACAACATCCTGGTCAACTTGACTTGCGGGGCCAAGGGCAAGAAGGGCCTGCCCGAGAACCCCACCGAGCTGCTGCTCACCCCCAAGCGGCTGGCCTCGCTGGTCAGCCCCTCGCACACGTCGTCCAACTGCCTGGTCATCACTATCATGGAAGTGCAGCGGGAGAGCTCCCCGTCCCTGAGCTCCACGCCTGTCGTGGAGTTCTACCGGCCGGCCAGCTTCGACTCGGTCACCACCGTGTCGCACAACTGGACCGTGTGGAACTGCACGTCGCTGCTCTTCCAGACGTCCCTGCGGGTGCTGGTGTGGCTGCTGGGCCTGCTCTACTTCAGCTCCTTACCGCTGGGCATCTACCTGCTGGTGTCCAAGAAGGTCACCCTGGGGGTGGTCTTCGTCAGCCTGGTCCCTTCCAGCCTGGTGATTCTCATGGTGTACGGCTTCTGCCAGTGTGTGTGCCACGAGTTTCTGGACTGCATGGCACCTTCTTCTTAGCTGGCAGGTGAACCAGGACGGGTTTGATTTGGTTTGATTTTTGTTGTTGTCGTTCCTCATGCAGCGGCCACGTTGGAAGTGAGCTCCCACCCGTGCCACGGACTGTTTCTTTTCCATTCTGCACGGAGAGTGTCCGTCAGGGGAGGTGAGCCAAGCACATGTTTGTGCTCTGTTTTCCCTCCGAATAGCCACTCAACTGGTTTTCCTTCCTATGGGAAGCGCGAAGTGGTTCGTTTTCACCTAGGTATTATTAGCAAAACAGCTCAACGTGGCCAAGTTCGGTAAGCCTGCCTGCAGCCTTTCGGTGGGGGCTGCCCGCTGCTGTGCTGTTGGAGGGTCTTTGTGGCAGATCAGGAAGGCAGGATCTCTCTTCTTAGAATCATCCAGAGCTCCCCCCCCCCCCCGGGAGGGTGGGCACCAGTAGGACAGAGTCCTAAGACACGAATTTGAAAAGGTGCACATCCCAACACATGCGCGCTCCCGTGTGCGCGCATGCACACACACACACACACACACACACACACACACACAGTGGGCATGAGAATAAAGCAGTTCTAAGAAGGGTTTGAAAAGGGCTCCTTCACCCCAACACACTCGTCCCCCCTACTGTGTCATTGCTCTATTAGCTGATGTGCCCTCTGAATGGTCTACATCGTCAAGAGGAAACCACCTCATTCTCTCTCCTGGTTTCAATTAAGTACCTGTTTTGCTACATTGCAGGAGAGAATGAAAAAGATGAAGACATTTGTTCCAAAGCAAACTTGGAGACAGACTAGGCTGTGTGCTTTGGGGACACACCCTTTCCTCATATTTAATTTTCTCTCTCCCTGGTCATCTGTGATATTCTCGCCCAGCAGTGACTGGTGAGGGAAATCTTCCTCTGAGCCTTTCCTTAAAACATTTTAGGGTTTTTTAAATTTTTTTTTTATGTTTGGGTTTTGAAGAATTTTCAGGTTTCTCACTCAGTCAGCCCACTCCCTTATCTTTTTTGAGATTCCATTTAAATTAGTTGCTCTCCATTTTTGAAGATTTCCTCTTCTCCCCATTTTCCATTGCATCTTGTTATTGAATTGTAATTCAGCGTTTCACCAGCTGTTCGAGCTCACCGTTTGAAGTGCTGGGAGCCTGTGCATTTGGCTGCGCCTTGCTGAGTTATTCTACAATGGCAGGTTCAGGGTTATATGTGAGGCTGAGCTTCAGGAGACGAGAGGTGAGCTGGTACTCTGCTGGCGAAGGCTCTGCAGGGCGGGGTCAGAGCTGGCGGAGGGCATGGACTCTGTAGTTCTCTCTGTCATGTTCAAGTCCACGTTGGTGACTTCAAGGGCTTATTTACTTTCAATAAAAACTTAAGCTATGCGACTTGATTTAACGAACTTCTTTTCATGATAGGAGTGAAGTTGAATGTACATATTTACGAGAAGAAATTTCTAGCTGATTTTAGGTTTGAAGGGATAGAATGTCTGTTCAGAGAATAGGCTCCCTGTACCCACTCCCAAGGAGAGAAAAAGAATTTCAGTCTCTAAAACCCATTGACAGGTGATTAACATTTAAGAAAGTTCTGACTCTTAGGAAGGGGTATTACTAAAACAACTTTAACATGTTTGTGATGAAATATTTGTTGTGCAATATGGTTGCAGTGGGTCAGTTCCAGTCTCCTTATGCAGGAAAATTGACATTTATTTCTAGGATAGAAATTTGGTTTTATTGTATAAACATTAACTTTGAGAATATTTGTGCCCAGGGTGAGTATGACAGAAAAGGGTATGTGGCCCGATGGATGTAAGTTCCAAGATAAAGCTAAATACACAATGATTTCACACAATCTAGTTTAAGATAGCATATGAATGCAATTCCCAAACTTCCATTTGTACTTAGTTGAATGTAATGTTTAGAAGATGTTTTGTGGTTTGGATTTATATATTTATAAGGTTTTTTTAAAAAAAAACATCAACTTTGTCTGAAATGTAACATCAATTAAATGGGTGAGTATCAGATTTCTAGAAAGCTCTGCATATGGGTACTATGTATTTTGCTTGTTAGCATAATGTCTGCAGTACTAAATTTATGTCTTTCTGTGTACTGTGATAGTCTTGGTTGTTTAAGTAAATTTGGTTTTTAAAAGTCTTAAGTATACAACAAAAACTTCATGCTATTGAATGGAAAAAAGAAATGCTTCAATATTTTGTTCACTGTGATAATGTTTTATTTGTCCATTAAATTGTTATTATTTCCAAACAGAAGTTTGATTTCTCTGAGTCATGGCTGAGATTAAATTATTACACTGGGCTTTTGTTTATATTTGGTAACACTGAGTACGCACATGGACTGGAGCGATAGCACAGAAGTAGGGCGTTTGCCTTGGGCGCAGCCGGCTGGGCTGAGCTGAGTTCGATTCCTCCGCCCCTCTCAGAGAGCCTGGCAAGCTACCGAGAGTATCTCGCCCGCACGGCAAAGCCTGGCAAGCTACCCATGATGTATTCGATATGCCAAACACGGTAACATTTCTCACGAAGGAGGCGTTACTGGGCCTGCTCGAGCATATTGATGAACAACAGGAGGACCATGTGAGCATGCACTTTAAGGGACATTGATTAAACTAATGCCTTTTTTACACATGAAGATTAAAGAAATTTTCAACAAAGTGGCCTTAAAATCATACCACTTTTAGAAGAACCTCATCTCTCTGTCTTTCAATGTAGGAGAGAAAAGTTAAGAAAGATAAAAATATTGCCTATATAAGTAAACATTTCCATTTTAATGTGTTTGAGTTGGAGGCAAGCTTTTTTTTTTAAAAATTTTTATTAGCGAGACACCATGAGGTACAGTTGTAGACTTACAAATTTTCGTGCTTGGGTTTCAATTATACAATGATCAAATACCCATCCCTCCATCAGTGCCCATTTCCTAACACCATGGATCCCAGTATCCCTCCCACCCTCCACTCCCCCCATCCCACCCTGCCTCTGTGGCAGGGCATTCCCTTTTGTTCTCTCTCTCCTTTTGGGTGTTGTGGTTTGCAAAAGAGGCAATGAGTGGCAGTCATGTTTGGTCTATAGTCTACTTTCAGCATGCTTCTCCCATCCTGGGAGGATCCTCCCAACACCGTTTATTTGGTGCTCCCTTCTCTATCTGAGCTCCTTGGAGACCAGCTTTTATCCAGCTCTTCAACAAAAGGGAATCTGTTATAGTTGCCAAATATCACAACCTCAACTCAACCTGAGCAAATCTAAAGAATAAAAAGTTCTTATTTCTAAACATGGACTATGAAAGAATGGAAATAATTTTGAATTATTGAGCAGTGATGATGAGTGAACCGGTACTGTTGGTTACTCCGGAGAAATGGCTTCATTTACTTCTATGTAAATGAGCAAAGATCCTGTCGAAAGCAAGCAGTTGCTTGTGCTGGAGATTCAGGCTTTCTTGCAGAGGGATTCTAAAATGAGAACCCTTTCCCAAGAAGCAAACAGATGCTAGGCTTCCAAGACAACTAAGGTTGCAGAATTTTTCTAATATGTCAATCAGACAGACATAGAAGACACAGGAGTCCTGTATGGAGAGGTAAATTTACCTAGAAATTATAAATAAGCTCTGCATATGGGAAGCCAGAGGTGGGGAAGGATTGGGGTGAGGGAGGGTCGCAAAGCCCATTGCTCTTCAGCAAGTTGTTGTATTGTTACTCATCTTCTTTGCGTGGTCTTCTTGGTAAGAAATCCAGACTTTCCTGAGTTCTTTGGAAATACTACATATGCCTCTAGAGTTTTCCTGAGAGCCAGTGAGAGGTGTGATGAAAGGGTAGGTCCTTGAAATGTTTTGTTAGGTGCTTGCTTCAAACTCTTCCTTAGATATTTCCTTCTCTTTGCACCAATCCTTTATGAGTTCTTACTCTCTATTGGCAACAAGAGACTTAGTATCACAAGTTATCTTTTGTGTAAGAGATGAATATAGATAACTCAACAACCATTCACATTGACATCTGATTAAACTCCAAGTGAGGCCAGCTCAGTTGTTTCTTTCACTTGAATGTGGACATACTCCATACTCAGATATTTATGGATGAAACATATCTGTAATTCAGGAGTAAAAAAATAAAATTATATCCTCAATGCTTTATGTCCTAAGTGGGGGATGTACTCTAATGTATTTTTTTAAGGCGGTTGAAACTTCATTTAATTAAAACATTCAATTATGTGGATCAGCCACCCTGCAAGCATTTTAATTAATGAGGAGTTTATTCCATTTGCAACATATGAACTTTTCCCCTTTAAATGGAAGTGGTTGGAATTTCATAGAGAAAAGGGTGGGTTCTAATTTTGTAGGTCATTTAGAACTTGGTTTTCCCATGAAAAGATGAAAAGTATTGCTTTCTGGGCAAGGAAATTTTTCAGGTTCATTTTCCTGAGAAAAGAGTTCTAACTTGAAACAGGAGAAGCATTGCCATTTCGATAGGAAGTGAATCGAGGCGTGGGTGCATGGGGGCTGGTAGAAAGTGGGATGGGGGACAGAGAGAGGTGGGCACTGAAGGGCAGCATCATTAGCTAGCTGAACATTCTGAGCTGTGAATGAGCTACTAGGGAGGAATACTGGAGCCTCAACAGCTACCAGAGACCAAAAAAGGGGAAGAAGGAAGCAGGAGAAAGTCTGGTCCTTAGAGCAAGAGAGAAGAGGTGGGCTTAGGATGATGAGGCGAACACAAACTGAAGCAAATTTCAGATTCGTTTATTTAAGAAAAAAAAAATCTCTTCATGAAGATTTTTGAGATCACAGAAAAGTTCAAAGATTCTAGTCAGAACCACCAGGGCAGTTTATTTACCTCTGCTTCCTTCACAATAGTTGTTTTGTTCCTAAAAATAAATATCTGCCTCTAATTTCATGGAGTTAATATTAGATCTAAGGCAATTTAAAATGTTTTACAGTATTATTTACTATTCGGTGTGCTCCGTTTAAAAAGAATCTTGGGGCTGGAGAGATAATACAGTGGACAGGGAATTTGCCTTGCATGCGGCCAACCAGGG